CATCGAAGACGCGGCATCTTCCAGTCTCCGAAGTAGAGGTTTTGCGAGTAGCCGCAAGACTCAGGTACCACGTTTTATGCAGACCTGGCATGTCAGTACCTCCAGGAAAGATGTGGATAAACGCCAAGTCCGGATGGCGTTCGCCCATGACCTAAGCTCATTAGTGAGATATCCTGTGAATGGATAATGAAGTCTGACTTTGACGAAGACGTCATTATACGACGCGGTGTTTTGTTCACGCTTATCATAGAGAATTTCTTGATGTCCAGATCTTCGAGGTCGACCTTGTTGCTCGTGGCGGCATTGAGGATAATCATTGCTCGTGCATCCTCACCGGCAGCCCTGTCATTGGAGAGCAGTGGCTGAAGTTCGTAAATGAACTTGGTGCGGGCGTATGTCCGGAGCACATGCGACTCGTCAAGTCCTTCGGTTGTTATCTTTTGCGACATTGCAAGAGCCCCGGCACTGCATACGAGCATATTGATCTTGCTGTACCGCTTCTTGATCTCTTCGACGGCAACTCGCACGTTGGATATGAACGACACATCGCACTGGATGAACTCGTGTTTGACTGTGATGCTATTTGTCTCGTTCGGATAGGGTGGCTCGGGGAAAGATGCAACGATGCGGTCTGCAGCGGCCTGGTTTCGTCCGACGATGACAATGTTCGCTCTTCCGTTGGTATAGGTCGCTAAGAGTTGTTCCATAGTCTGACCAATCCCAGAAGTTCCTCCCACGAACACGGCCGTAGGAATGTAGCCAAAAGGTGAACGCCTCGTTGAAGGCCTTGATAGTGGAAGGCGATGGCATTGTATTGAGTGTTAGAATGGGTTTGAAAAGAAATCGAAGAGCTGTAGAAGTTGGATTATCGACCAGCAAACCATCTCGACCTATTTATGCCCGGAGATGGGAAGCTCGGGAAGCCTGAGGGCGAGGCTAAGGCTGGGAGTGATCATTCAAGCAGTAACCTCCGGCCCAATTTACCGCAGTAAGAGGCATTGTCGCGCTGATTCGCATGCTACACCTTGGTTTATAATCTATGTATCCGCAGCTGATGACTTTGAAAGATAACAGCAGCCACTACGAGGTAATGACGGTTGTAGAGACTGTACCAGGCAGGAAACAGCGGACACTCTGCAATATTTTTGAGGTCGACATCCGTCGGGTCAAGTTGCGTTTTCACCAGGAAACTTTGCTTTACGCTATAAACTGTTTCATGTATATTGATTCAGTGATGATAACAATTGTAAGACACTTTGTGGTGTCGGCTTTAACAGACCTGATGAGGACCAGCTTTGACAAATGCAGCGCGGACATATAAACCAGGGCGTCAGAACAAGCATGGGCTGTCTATCCAGACATTGGGAACCTCGCGCGATGGTCTGTCTCAAGCTGGAAGTACGGCTTTGGACTCGAATGCTTGCGAGATAACAATCCGGATACGTTCTGGCAGTAGGTCACTTCTCTTTTGTGATTTCATATTCTGACTCAGTGTAGCTCTGAAGGCAATCAGCCACACTCGATTACGCTGGAGTTTCGAAACGCGTCGCTGTCCAAGTACGGGCATAACTATCGCTTACATGCTCTCATGATGAAAATAGAAGATCATAGTTCATCTGGATCAGAAAAAGGACGACTCGTACGCGCCAGAGATCATCGGCATCCGCGCCGGGAACAAGCTTACGTGACTTGCAAGATGTCCGACAAGTCAACTTTGACAAGCCGAGTGGATGGGTTGCATTTGATGTGACGAACGATTTGGCAGAGGACGGTCAGACTTTGTGAGCAGCTCCTTTTCCCCTTGTCGAGTTTTGTTCTCACCAGCTTTGCTCCCGACTCCTATGCGAGAATAGTAAACCGCTGTACGCGTATGTCGTTCAATTGGTCATTATTTCAAACTACATGAACGGCAAAGACACACATATCCGTGGTCTCAAGATTGTCGGACCACTGGAGTAGGTTTACTCATGATCCATGCTCGCGCGTAATTGCAACTGATCCACTGACGAGGAGCCACTGTTGGATGACACTGAAGTCTTTCCGTTTGTCAGTCCCGAGTTTAAGATGTACGAGACCATACGATAGCTTGGACTATCCATTTAAGAACATAAATGCAACCACGTTCACTCTATATGATACAATATGTTGTTGGCACCTGAAAGGTTATCGAACCTAGCTCGCCGAGCGCTCGAGCGAGATCAGATAATCCCAGGTGAAATTGACTGGGGCCTAGGGGCATATAGTACTGTTCGAGACAATTATTGGCAGAATCTTTCCAGTCCATGGTGCCTAACAGGTGCATTGTTGATCCGCAATTGAGTCAATTAATCAACAGAACTTTTAAGCGGAAATAGGATTCTGAACCAACAAAGCCACCTATTAATGAAAGCCAAACTAAAGAACCTAACACGTCGTGTTTCCTTTCCATCACCTCTATTTCACTCGTACTCTGCATCTTGTCAATGACTTGGCTGTTCGTTTATATCTATATCTAGTCCCCGTGTAATATATCTTTTCTCTCGATCATTCAAGCTTGTGTGTGAGAGTACCGCGCCTATCCCTTCAGCTGCTGCGGAGGCCGACAACATGCTTAAACCTCTACCACGACCATGAATAATACCCGGTGGCCAGAGATTGGAAGTACGACGGAGCTGATGAGGGCTCAAAATTCAGATCTATCACTCGTTTGCGAGCTCATGCAGGAGCAGTACGCCGAGTTCTATTGTGATTAGTATCGCATTAATAGGTGAATATCCAGAGCAAGACTGGAGCAAGAATTGTACGTCACTCATATTTTGTTCACTATGCATCTATTTAAGAGAGATAAAGCGTTAATGGCCTACGCGCATTGGTCCAAAAACACAAACCACGGGCTGAAGGCGAAAACAGGCAGTACTCAAAGGTGCTCATCGATGCATTCGAACAAGGTGAGAGGGCTAATTGGTATCCAAAAGTGCGTAAAACATCTGTCTAGAAATCGAGGTTCGCTCGGGTCCCAATCCGAACATGCCCGAGCACATCGCGTTAGAGGAGAAGGTGCAATACCCAATTACCAAAAATCACGACTAAGAGACTATTCAGGAGCTGTCGGTCTGTTCGGAACTCGCACAGGTGCTGTATAATGCACACGCGACACGACGACAAATATACAAGGCTATTGGCTTCAGGTGAACTCAAAAGTGGTGGAACAAACAGTGGCACAAAAAGTCGCCCGAGGGGATGCGAATGCCATTTGTGGGGTGAGTGTTGCCCAATCACCAAATATGACAAGCATAACCAGATATCGAGAACTCGAATATCGCCTAAATTAATGCACCATCAACGCACATCCGCGAGGAACCTGAAGGGGTGGTATGAAGTCAAATTACCGGTAGGTCACCGTAAGCGACTTTTCGACTCTAGTTCTATCTGAGGTTTGCTCAGCCACTGGTGGAATCTCTCCATTCGGCCCTAGAGGACACGAAAGCAATCATGATCAACACAATAAATACCATAATGTTTGTAAATTCTCTTTCCATGACGCAGTCTCATCAAATGTAGCGATCGTGCATCAACATGTAGTCGGATTTATTCCCGCGCGCTTGGTAGAGCATCCGATTTACTCCCATTAAACTACCGTGCATCAATCCAAGGAAAGATGGATCTAGAACTAGTCAGCGAGGCACTCGTCCCGGTGGCCTATTACAACCATTTCTTCGAAGGACGGAGCTTGCCTCTGCATTTTGGCACAGGCACTCTTTCTCTCACTTTCCCGGCGCCTTATTCTGTGTGTCCTAAAGATTTGCATGAACAATTGACTGACCATCTCTGCGAAAGTTGCGTGAGCCGGATCCACAAGAGTTATTGCAAGCCGAACAGATAACGACTTCACGTGGGTCTCTTCTGAAGCTGTCACTCTGGTGCGTTCCTTCTTCTTGGTCCATAGTTGGTGGTAATACATCTCCAGTTTGAAATTGTGCAATACGGCCCCTTCTTCCCTTCAACTCGAGAGTTTCAACTCTTTAAAACAATCACCGGAAATCGAAAATCTATCAGCTTGGTATTCTTTACAGTAAATTGAACAAAGCCTAAACTTGGTATAGCGAACATATCTCGGCGTGAATTAACCGCATTTTCAAAGCCGGATTCATCAGTCTGGGAACCCCTAGGATCTCCGAGGCGCAAGGAACTTCTCAAGATGGCCATTGGAAAAGTGGATCCACGGTGGCTCACGTTCCGTGAGGTGAGTATCGAGTCTACTTGCTCAATCTGATTCGATAATTGATGCCTGATCAGGATTCTGAGGACATTGTGGCTGCTTTCATAAGGAAATGGGATATTGAAAACGACAAGCCAAAGCCCAAAGGAAAGTAACCAAAAATGATACGTCAAATTATCAAGTATGACGAGAGACTGGCAAGCTTTCATGGGAGATGAGCCACATAGTATAGAGGAACAATGTATTGGATGAAACCTTCAATGCCCCATCAACTCTGTGTTGAGCCTAAGTGAGCCAGCAAATGATACGAATTGTCACGAACATTGTCCTGAATCATCACGAATCTTCACGAGGTGAACAGTCACTCATACCTGTGTCACGAATAGTCACGGATTGTCACGAATTGTCGCAGATTGTCATGAATTGTCACGATCTTCCACGAGGTTTCCAAGTCAAGCCTGTATTTTTGTCCGAGTAGGCAGCCCAAACACGTGTAATGACCACTTTCTTCGTCCATTGCCCTTCTTCTGCATGTATAGATAGCATTTATATGCAAGTACACGGGTCTCATCCTTCAAATGAAAGTACCGCATCTGTCCTCCGTACATGTACCTTCTTGCAGGAGCTGTGGTGGAGGCTGATGACTTGCTTGACTCTTTACCACGACCATGAGTATCCGTTTACCAGAAATTGGGGGCACAGTAGAACTGCTGATGTCTCAAGATGCGGACCAGGCACTTGCCCACGTTCTCATGCGCGAGCGGTACGCCTGGTTTTGTTAGGATCCGTGGACTAATTGTGTGGATTCCCAGAGCAAGATTGGAGAAAGTGTTGTACGCTAATAGTAGTGCAAAAGAGATCCATCTATTTAACAAGGAGGAAGTGTTGATGGGCTATCATGCAAACACAACACATGAAAGCAAATATACAAAGCTAGCGGTTCAGAGAACGAGATAAAGGAATGGTTAAGCATGCAGTGGAAGTTGCCCTTTGAATGGCGAATGCCATTATTAGGTAGTTATGCCTAGTCATAATGACAGGCATGAGCAGATGTCGAGAACTCGAATACCGCCTAAGCGTACATCATCAGCGCATATCTGCGGGGTCTCTGCGGCAGTGCTGTGAAGACGAGCTACCCGTACGTTATACTTTGCCTCCATTTCTATCCGAGATCGAGAACTGCACAGCGACTCATGGAATCTCACCATTCGTCCCTGGAGGACACGAAAGCAATCATGATCACCACAATAAATGACATAATGTTTGTGACTCCTCTATTCTTATGCTCAGTTTCATGAAACAATAGCGATCGTGGATCAACATGCAGTCGATTGTATTCCTGTACATTTAGCAAAGCGTCAGATTTACTTCCGTTGAATCATCGCGCATCACTTCAGGAGAAGATGGATCCAGAATTGGTCAGCCAGGCAATCATTCCAGTGGACTACTACAACTGGTTCTTTGATGGGCAGCCCTCGCCTCTGCGCTTCGGCATAGGTACTCTTTTCCTTCGATGTTAGGTGGAAGTCTGTGCGTTTTGGGAAGTGGCCAAACAAATTGACTAACCATCTCTAAAAAAGGTGTTTTGGCCGGATCGACAAGAGATGATGCAAGCCGAGTGGTGGAATGTCCTCGATGGGAGTTGCCCTAGACATGTCACTCTGGTGCGCCCATTTCTTCCTAGTTAGCAATTTGGGATAATACCCTTCCAGTTTGAACTGGCCCAATATGGTCACTGCTTCCACTAAACTCACAAGAGTATGAACGACTCAAGTCCGCCAGTTTGGTATCCACTACAGCAATGGGACGAAGACTGAGACATAATATAGAGAATCTCTCGGCATGACTTGATCGCCCTCATGGTACCAGACGGGCCGATTTGGGAACCCCTAGGATCTTCCAGGCGCAAAGAACTGCTCAAGATGGCCATCGACAGAGTGGACCCATATTGGCTTACACTTTGCTTGGCTAGTCTACTTGCTAAAGTTTTTCACTACTAGATGCTTTAGGAGAATTCGGAAAACATCGTGGAAGCTGTTTTGCGGAAATGGGATCTCGAGACGGACAGGCCAAAACCCCGAGAAAAGCAATCCAGAGCGACATGCCGAATTCTGCGGAGTGGTGGGACGGAACGACTTGGACAAGATACTTGACAAGTTCCAGAAACGGAGGATTAACCAGACCCTGGTCAAGAGCGGCCTTGGCCATAATTGTCAAGGGCTGTCTGGAACAAAACCGTTGCAATACTTATTCAAATGGCACAGAATCCAGTCCCCAATGCGTGATCCACTTCCCGATCATCTCTTTGACCCAAAGGGACCATTACAGCAATGGACGTGCTATATGCGTGTGGCGCGGGAAACACCTGCCCATCTGTCAGAATTTTTCAAAGAATAGAAGTAGTTGAATGAGACGATTCTTTGATATATCACTGTTACTCGTTTGAAACTTGTCTGTAGGTTCGTGACTACGAATTCAACTCCAGCACGCCGAAGGATATCAATTCGCGTCGTCGATTCCGATGCCTGTATCGAGGTCGACGACACGGGGGAATAAACAATTCCCCTCGACGCATAGTGAACCGAACTCCGTAATCGCTCAGCCAGTATAGTCCAGTGTCTCTCGAACGCGATTGCCCAGATTGCACAACAAGATTTGGTTGTCACGTACTAGCAAAGAAACAATTTTCGAACCTCCCGAGAACAAAATAAGAAATTGATCGAATAAGTAGAAGAGGTTGAGGATGTGCGTGGTATGGTTGGTTATACAGTAACTAGTGATAAGTTGCGATTATCGAAGTAAAGCAGTATTGCGAAACCCGCGACCGAGTTTCGCGATATACAAATGAATACGCTGCTTGCTGCCCACCAGCAATATCCATCGCATGCTGAAAATGCGTCGCTCATAGAGCGTCGGTAGAATGAAAGAGGCGGGGATCAACGTCGTCGCCACCGCTCAATCTCTTCGTCATCCACATCGTCGTCCGAAGTGACACCAGTCGAGCGCCGCTCGGAACACTTCAGGCGGTGGAAATACAGCCAGTGACAGCGACATCCTTTCTTCTCATGGGCCCGAACCCGACTTTGATGACGAGGGTTGATCGCCAACCCGCTGCTTCAGCTAGACTAAGTTTGCGTTTACGCTCCTTTTCCGCTCTCGTCTAGTGCAGCAATAAGGCTGTTCATCGCTGCCATCTCCTTGCTCGTTCCTCCTTTGTATACTTTTCCTGGAGCCATCCTTTCCAGACCGGACCGAGCCCCACCGCCACCGTAGAGAACTCGTTCCTCCGGCATACGAATAGCCACCAGCACGATGCGAACTCGATGTCGAGTTATTCCGCGAACGACCCCGACAGCCGTCGGACCGCCCATGGCAAATTCCGTCGCCGCTGACACGGCCGTCTGGTCAATGCTCGCCTTTCGTGCGGCACTCCGAATACTCTCGAGGCGGACGGTATTGAGGCTCGTGATGGCTTGTCGAGACTCGAGCCCATACGCGTTGTAACCTGGTCGCGTGCCGGCGCCCGCAAACGTATTGTGGCCGCTGAGCCCTAGACTGCCGTCGTGCGCCCGGTCACTCGCAGACGGTGGGGCAGTGGCGACGGTATAATTACCATTGTGCTCGATGGACGGTCGGCTTTGGGATGTAGACCGGCCCGGCGAGGCAAATGGATGGGACCCAATCACGTATGGGCGTGTTATTGCTTGGGCGGACGTGGATCGTGGCGACTGGTGAACGCTCGAGTTTGCAGGCTGTGGACTAGAAAAGTCTGGATTGCCCGTAGGACTGCGCGGAGAAGTCGGGGCCATGTCGTTGCGAGTATAGACGTTTTGCTTGGGTAGGAAACTGTGTTCGTCCCGATAGTGATACGGATCCTGTTTGGCGGCATCTAAGCTCTCCATTGTGGGTCGTCGAGAATGTTGCTGTCCCTGGAGAGTTTCCGGGCGGTGCTGTGAATAATAGCTCGATTCGCTATAGGTGCTCTGGAAGCCCGCGTGTGGCGGGGCAGCCTTTAGATGCGATTCGGGAGACATCGAGAGCCACCACTTCTCCCTCTTGCTCCTGCTTGCCCTTTCTCGACCGTGCGCAAACCAAATGACGAAGAGGACCAAGCCGGCGAGTAGTATCCCACATCCTACAGATTGCAGAGCGTCCTGACTGAAATTGGCTGAGTTGTGACTGTTGTTGCTGAACTCGTAGTAGTGGCGACGGATCTGGTTGGGGTGGTCGAGCCAGTGATAGACTTTCCGAGAAATTCGATCATGAGCGTCGACGCCAAGCTTGCGAGGAAAACTGTAAACTTACACGAGAGAAAGAGACACTCGTCGTAATGTTTGGGTCAGTCTGAAAAACGGAAGCTGTGGGCGTTTCTCCCGCGAGGACGGATGTGCCACCGAGTTGGGTCGTCGCGCCCGTTTGAGAGACGGTGACGACTGTATCCTGTCTTGGCTGATGAATATGCATCGTTTGTAGTCTGTAGATATGCCGGCGGTGGGCCCAGCGCCGTGCGAAGGGCTAAATAAAGGTGATAGCTGGTCGGGGATGGCCTGGAGGGCTTCAGGGAGCCCAACAAGAGGTCGCAGAGGACGTCTGCTGTCGTTTTTGAGAACAGCAAAAGGCCTTGAACGAGCTGCTTGTCGGAGTCGGGTCCAAGAGACGGCTGGGAAATTGGCGAGCTTCGGCAATAACGCGCCCCTGAGAAGTCGCAAGGATTATTCTTATTTCAGCTTGAGAGTTTCGGGTAATTGATTTGGGTATACTTTATTATACCAGACCGAGGCAGTGGAAGCTATTAGACAGCCTACTCACACAGCTTGTCCAATATCAAGTATGCCGTGGTTGTAGATATTATCCTACATGCTACACCCGAATATCCTGCATTTCAGCCTAATCGTCATGTTTAGTCGATAGAACCAAACTCTCTCCTTGCAGTCTACCAAAATGTCGTTCAACTTGCCTCCCAAACCAGCATCGCCAGGTTTCCCCATTTCGACCCTCTCAACATCTTCCAGACGAATCACCTGGTCCTCTTTCTTTTGCTTTTGCACCGCCATCAACATTTACAATCGATTTTGGTCATGGCGCGTCGCTCGACCTCCCCAACCCGGGAGCGTCGAGAACCTGCAAAAGAGATTAAATGTCTGCTTTTGTCCCTTTGAATGCTTGTAAAATTGCTCATCTTGTGCTCCGCGACGCGTTTGCAGCCACGCAACTCACAAATTTCATGTTCGACGGTCTGCGCCGACTACACAAAGCGTTTTCTCACAAACCCGCGCGTTCACTTTTCGCATGCTTTTACGCTCGCGTCGCAGACTCAGGACCCGACATACACGCTCTCTTCGTATTTCATCGATGACAACGTCCGTCTTCCTTTTTCTTCCTCTCTCGGCCGTAGCTGACTCGCCTCAGAATCTACTACAAAACGTCGATCATGAAGGAAACCTTGAGGACGCTTGACCCACCAGTGGACGCCGTCCCACGACAAAGGCCAATTGCAGGTCAGCCTATCGCCTCTGTCTGTGATTCCCCTTCTTATACAAATCATAGCTTGGTAGCGCACCAGATCGAAGCTTTCTTCAACTCGAGCACGAAAACTCTGGGTCGACTATTGCCTAAACCTCAAAGCCATCAACCCATCGCCAATCGACGGCTCGGGCATCTACTCTGCAGTCTCTTGCAATCCGTCTCAAGCGTCTCGCACTCGGCATAGAGACCAACTTTCAAAGCGCACCCGACGGTTCAGATACGCTGACGACTTGGCACGCCAAATACACTGGCCGACAAAACGACTGGATTGCCACGGCTGCTTCCACACGCTCGGGCTTTTACAAGCGTCGTATTGGCACAAGTTGAGCCCTCAAGTCGAGGTTGCGGCCGACTTGCAGCTCATTGCGACGCCCATGAAGAGAGACGCCGTGGCGACGGTGGGAGCCAAGTGGGATCTACGATTGAGCTCGTTCAAGGCTCAGTTGGACTCGACAGGTAAACTCTCGGCGCTATTGGAGCAGCGGCTTGCTCCCAACTTTGCGCTCCTCTTTACAGGAGAGATTGACCATTTCAAGGTACGTACCTTTATACCCTTTTTTCAATGGTTATGGTCGCTGACGATTTTAAGAATACGGCAAAGGTCGGGATGGGCATTATGCTCGAGGCCAATGCGGCTCCCTACGACGAGGAGATGATGGCATCGCTACCACCACAACTATAGATTGGAAAAACGCTGCCGGGAGGCAACAGCTTGTAGACTGTGCAGTCACTCACGGGGACATCCAGACCTTTAGCATACATACATTCCGTACGAAGTATTTACTGTGTCGTGTTATTCAACCCTTTTCCCTCGTCATTGTTCAAGAGTATGTTTTGGTAAGAGGTAGAGACGGGAGATTTTACTCTGTGCGATAGATAAGATGAACGCCCGAGTCCGTTTCGACGATGCCGCTCATTTCGCCGACTTGGGCGCAAACGTCGCGTCTTCAAACGGCTTTTGCATCTGGCCACGGCTAAAGTGACCTAGATCACCTCCTTTCGAGTGGGAAGAGCAGTCAGAATACTGTTGGGCGAGCGAGGCAAACTTGTGCGGGTCGCCATTAATCTCGTCCTTGTATCCCAGCAAGATATCGATAGCCTCCTGCTTTGTACGCGTGATATTTGCCTATAAGAACGTCAGTTAGCTTTATTTTTTTGAGCGATAGATGTCGTGTGCGTGCCTCTCGCCAGCTCGATGGTCGTCGACTGTCCTTGTGCTTGACGAGGAGATGACTTGCGCACGATTTCTGGACCCCCGATGGTGGAGATGCGCTGAGCAAGTTTGCTCCCGGCAGTTTCTCAATCTCCTGCGGCGTCAAGTCTGGAGGCGCCTGCCAGAGCGACTGATTCGTGTCGCGGTTGTAGAAATATGGCTTGCGGCGCGTATTGGACATGCGAACTTCCCATCCCTGTGCATATTCTCGTCAGCTCTTGTCCAAACCTTTAGGGCGGACCATGTTGGATTTGGTGCTGCAGTGGCGGAGATCAAGTTATGACTGAACATGGGTTCAATGATACATACAGCTATTATTACTCAAATTAATGGGGCTAAGCGACTGGATATATATTAATAGCTATTACTTGGCCATCTAGCCTCATCACACTTGTTTGGCATATCGAGACTGGCAGGAGCCAACCCATCTTGGACCTGATCCCATTCTCTACGATGTCAACACTCAAGTCGAAACGAGCCAAGAAACCCCGCCCGACTGGGAAAGCGCCAGGATCATCGTCATCGGCGCCAAAGTTCGATCAAACAGAGGCTCGAGTGTACGACACAGTCAACGTCGGTCTCGATTTCGTAGCTAACCTCTCTGACGTCAGATGTACTCGCCCCACTCTCCAAAGCAGCCTGTCGGGCCTTAAAGTCGATCCTGGGCGTCAAAACAAGTCAGTGGCAGAAACTCATATAATAGACCGGTCGTGAGAGCCATGATAGGCTATTGATAGCAACAAAGAGATTTGAATGACTAATCGCGCGTTTAGAAGGCTATGTGATCCTCTATCAGAAACAAAGTCCAGACTGATTCGGGCGCTATTCTCAGAGGAAGGATCGTTGAGGAAGCGTTCAGCCAACCATTCATTGATACGTCAAAGTACGTTGAATGGAGTTAAACGTAAAGCAATGTACTGACTGATACAGATTCCTTGAGGATCTCTCGGCGAAAGTCCTCAACTATGTCGAAAAACGAAGCCAAACTACCCGGGGCAGGGCTACGCAAGTCCGAGAAAAGTCAAGATAGACGCAGAAACGATCCGCAGATTCAGTAGAGAGGTTGACGATCGGCATAGACAGTTCATGGTGCGCCGAGCGCCACCAAGCCTGCTTGAAATTTGACCGTAGGGCAGGAAGCATTGAATATCTTCACTACATTGCGTATTCAATCCATCGAACGAAGCACAAAGGATACCAAGGTCAACGTGGAAAAGAGTCTGACGGACAGTAAGTTAGTACCTATGAGTAGGTGTTCCGCTCACCATCTCAGACGATGCTACCGCCATGCTACAGCTGCCAATGGTAGCATTCGTTCCATCCTCGATCCACAATACCTGTATGCAGGGAACACGGAGGCTGTTCTAGAAATGATCTGGGAATGGGCCAGCGACGATATATCGACAAGCCGATATTTTGGCTCTGCGATATAGCCGGCTCCGGCAAATCACATTCGCAATGACCGCTGTCGAAAGGTGGCAGAGTGAGGATGTTAGGTGGCAAATTCTTCTTCTCTCTGGCAAGTAGCGAAGGGTCGGACCGAAAAATTTGTTCCCACTATAGCAAGAGAGCTGGCGCATCACATCGGGGCATGGTCGAAGCCATCGTACGATGCAGTGAGACGGAATCCCATCGTCATGCAAGTTCCACTCGACGAGCAGTTTCGAACCCTCATCACTGGTTCACTGCAGAACAGCAAGACCGCGTAATTCTCGTTATCGACGCTCTGGATGAATGCAAGTCTGGATCACAACGAAAGGAACTTGTCGAGGCTCTTATCTGCAGCTGTTCGGAGAATGCAAAATCTCAAGATATTCATGACGAGTCGACCAGACCCCCTGTCGTCGAGGCCGTCTTGGAGTCGCTCTCGACCAAGGTCAAGTTACAGACCGCCTTCACGATACCAATCATCGTGACAATATCGACGACATTGCGAACTATATTACCGATCACTGGTGGCAGAGACAAAAGGCAGAAGCTCGTCGAAAAGGCCAACGGGCTCTTCATCTGGGCGAGCACCGCCTGTCGAATGCTCAAAAATGAGGCCAGCTTAATCTCACCCGAGGACATGTACGCTCGTCTGACCTCCATGGATCAAGTTGGAGTCATAGACGACGTTTACAATCTTGTCTTCGAGCGCACAGATCCTGAATACTACACAGTCTTGTGTACAATGCTTGCGCTTACTGCTGCATTCGAACCGCTCTGATATCAACCTGGACGACCTCTGAAGAGCTCAAAATACACGGAAGTGCCAAGGCATTGGTACATAATCTAGGAAGCGTACTCACTATAGATGCGACAAATCTTATTCCAGTTTCGTCATCCTACGGTGGTCGAGTACCTCCGGCGCTGTCAATCAATCAGCCATCAATAATCGCAATATATAATTTCTATCAACTACCTGATGCGCATGGTCAAACAGCATTATGGTGTCTTAAACGTCTCGGTCTCCAAGTGAAGGTCTCCAGTTTAATATATCATCAAATCAGTCGTCTTTCAACCTGAATAGCCAGAATTCCGGATCTTGATACTAGAGTATCAAATTTTATTTCAAGGAGACTTCGATAGCCAGTTCTCATTGGGTATTCCATGTAGCCAAAACAAACGATAACTGGCGTGCACTTCAGTAGCGAACTTGAGCACATTACTCAAATACCATACGTACTATACTGGATGGAATCTGAGTTTCACCGGAGGAGTGCCACGAGCAATAGCTGGCCTTCGAGCCATTACACATCATGCAGAGTGAGTGATTCATCGTGATAAATTATAATTTAACGCACAACAGTTGAAAGAGAACACAAAGGGTCAATTATCGAGATTCGGCGGTTTATGATGGCATTTTCAGTGCCAATCCAGGATAGTGCTCCACATATTTACCTCTCGGCACTTCCGTTTACCCCATCGAATCAAAAATACATAATGAGTCTGAAAAGTTTCCAAGCATCCTCACTGTCACTCTTGGGATCGAAAAGATGTTCTCCGGGCTCCCAAGTTCCTTCAAGGTCACGAGACTGGGTCCGGGCCGTGGGTTTCTCGCCAGATGGCTCAAATTTGTCTCTGGCTCCTCGATAGGACTATTCGACTGTGGGATGTGGACACTGGACAGGCTTTGGGAAAGCCACTTCGAGGGTCCACTCGGGCTCAGTGAGAGCTGTCGGGTTCTTGCCAGATGGCTCGCGAATTGTCTCTGGCTCGTCCGACAAGACGATCCGACTATGGGATGTAGAAACTGGACAGGCTTTGGGAAAGCCATTTCGGGGCCACGAAAGCTCAGTCTTAGCCGTCAGATTCTTGTCAGATGGCTCAAGAATTGTTTCTGGCTCACGGGACAAGACGATTCGATTATGGGATGCAGACACTGGGCTTTCTCTTGGACAGCCCCTTCGGGGTCACGAAGGCTCGGTAAGGGCTCTTGGGATCTCGCCAGATGGTTCACAAATTGCCTCCGGCTCGTCCGACAAGACGATCCGACTATGGGATGCAGACACAGGTGCCTTTGAGAGCCACTTTCGGGTCACGAAGCCGATGTCTTGGCTGTCGGATTCTCCCGGACGGATCGCAGAATCGTCTCTGGCTCGTCCGACAAGACTATCGAATCTGGGATGCAGATACAGGACGAACTCTAAGAGAGCCATTTTGTGATCATGAATTCCCCGTCTTGGCCGTCGGATTCTCTCCGGATGGCTCACGGAGTCGTCTGGATTCGTCGATAAAGACGATTCGACTTTGGGATAATCAATGGAATATAGTATCTATCATCTTCTCACCAGATGGCTCTAGAATTGTCTCTGAATCACGAGATAAGACGATTGACTGGGATGTGGACAGTGGGCAGCCCTTGGGCGGTCACTGCGAGGTCTGAGGGTTCAGTCTTAGCATCAGATTTTCGTCAGATGGTTCGAAAATTGTCTCTAGCTCACAGGATCAGACGGTTTCGACTATGGGATGTAGGATCTGGACAACCTCTGGGTAGCCAATTCGAGGTCACACCAGATTTAGTGAACTGTCGGATTCTCGCTAGATGGCTCGAAATCATCAGGCTCTCTGACAAGACATAGCCTATGGGATATAATCACTAGAACCTCTTTGGGAGCGCCATTTCCTGTTGATGAATACTCGGTTTTGGCCGTCGTTCTTGCCAGATGGCTCGAGATCTGTGGCTCGTCCGACAGGATTATTCAACTATGGGATGCGGACACTGGACAGGCTTTGGGAAAGCCACTTCGGGTTCACTCGGGCTCGGTGAGGGCTGTCGGGTTCTCGCCAGATGGCTCAAAAATCGTCTCTGGCTCTTCCGGTAGGAGGATTCAACTGTGGGATGTGAACACTGGAAATCCTCTGGGCGAGCCAGTATGGCGTCACAATGGCTCGGTCTTGGCCGTCGGATTCTCGCCAGACGGTTCACGAATCGTCTCTGGCTCTGCCGACAAGACGATCCAACTATGGGAGGCAGACACAGGACAGCCTATAGGAGAGCCACTTAGAGTGCGAAGGTCCGGTGTACGCCGTTGGGTTCTCCAGATGGTTCAAAACTTGTCTCTGGCTCGTCTGATCAAACAATCCGACTGTGGGATGTAATCACTGGACAGGCGTTGGGAGAGCCATTCAAGTCACCAAGGCAAATTGTACGCTGTCGAATTCTCGCCAGATGGCTCACGAATCATCTGGCTCGTCTGACAAGACGATTCGACTATGGGATGTACACCATACCCCCTCTTGGAGCGCCGCTTCGGGCATGAATACTCTGTAAGCCGCAGATTACCGCCAGATGGCTCATAAATTGTCTCTCACGTACGAGACAAACAGTTCAACCATCAGCTGCAAAGCAGGTAGAAAATGTCTCTCGGCCCGTCTTGACGACTTGACAAGCACCGCAAGATGTAAAGGTGAATAAACATAGTCGGGGCCGCAGTGAGTCCCCACATTCAAGATCCCAGGAAGATCCAGGTGGTCTTCCCCTACGAGTCTTCGTACCTGGATTCCAGCATTGTTCCCTCTTGCAAGATGGCTGGGTACAATCCTCTGGTAAATTCCTCTTTTGGACACCACAGAAAATCGGCATGGACTCCTGTCCCCATCTTCTGACCATGCCAACAACGAGTCCATTCCGTGCAATCACTCTGATTTGCCAGTTTCGATGTGGCCCTCTGGACTATATGTTCGAAAAGATCCTATGATAGTCTGCTCAACTGTGGTTATCGTCGCTTTCAATGTATACTTCCTTTATTTCATTTGCAGCGTGAGGAACGTTCATAATCTGCGGTTATCCCAAGTTGTGTGCTTGAGACGTACACATCTAGAATCCACGTGCAGCCACGTCGATGTATAGGATAGAAACCACCGAGTTGTGTGTTCGCCAAACTGTCTATTCTCATGAATATAATTGGTTTTGAAAATAATATAGCTATCAACACCGGCGCCTTTTGTTGCTGACGCATACCCGCTTACTTGTCCTCGACGTCGACCGGACTTACGAATTCAACAGAGAGATACTTAGGCTCCAGGCACGATGTTCAGGCTCCCGGCCGACGTGCTCAGCGAGGAGACGAAGATGCAAAGATGCAAGGAAGAAGAACTCAACGTATGCTTCTCGCTTCTTTGCGCATACTCTTATTATAGGAGAATAACTAACGCATTCTTACCTCGTCTAGGTCCCAAGCCACTAGGCGGGATCAGAACCGCATTGCCCAGCGTGATTTCAGATTGAGAAAGCAACAAAAGGTCATCTTCATCTTCATACGTGCATATTGCTGAGGACTAAAACGTGCAATAGATCCGAGACTTGGAGCGCAAAGTTGAAATTCTCTCCGCAAATAGGGAAGACTCGTTGAAGGCACTAGACGGGATGCTGCAAGACTTGGTTCGCGAAAACCAAGCACTGCGGCAGCTTGTACGGGACCTCTCGGGCTTCATTGGGGAAGGCATTGGAGGGTTCTTGCCTAAACTCGGCTGGGACATTCAAAGCTTTGAGGACTTCAAGTCAAAGGGAGAGTTAGATACAATGGGAGAGTCATATGCGTGGCGCAAGAAGAATCCAAACACGCCTGCTCCAATTGTGCCGACTCTTGTAGGACAGAAAAGGAGAATTGACGAGCCAACTGAGGCGAGAAAAAAGTCAAAGGTCTGCTATTCTCAATATACGTCGTGACTATATCTCTGATCACTAGGATTCTAGAGCAACGATAACGAGGAGTTGACCCTCCCCCCGCCCAATTCGTTTATCAACACGTCCATTTTCACAGCACAATCATCCAATCCCGTGCCTTCAACCAACGCCAATCTCCCTAATGGGGCACTCTTTAGTGCGGACTATGCCTCCAATGCTCCAGGGCCTATGGTCCATATAGCACAAGGACTACGCTTCCTCCACCACAGCCAGCAATCAATACATCGACACCATCTGGGTTGAGCCCCTATGGAGGTGGTGGAGGGTCCACGCCGTCCTCTATCAACAATTCGAACCCGCTGAATAGTGCGGCTGCGAATACGTATCCAGCATATTCTGCGCCATCTAGACCTGCACCTTCCGATGGTTCGGCGCCCCATCTATTGGCACTTCGAATTCACGCTGAAGATCCGCTTCAAGTGAAGAAAGAAGAAGCTGGTAGACTTATTCAGTGCGTTTAATCTCTGCTCATCCATTAAGACTCTGATGTTTCATAGTCACCATCTTTCCAACTATAAACGGAACCCTGCTTACTGTCTGCCGGCCTCTCTCCGTCCAACACAGATTCAGCGCACCATAGCACACGAATTTGTCATTGATGGAATTGTTATCCCGGACATCCGCGATAAGATGATACTTTACAAAGGTCGATTTGACCTAGCAAGTGCGATGCATCTTATGCTCAGCACATCTCGCATTCACTCTGAAGATACAATGGTTCACACATTGGGAGATGTCAGAGTGGTTTTAGACAGTATGGGTGAGTGGATTCATGCATCACACACTTCGTTGACTCATTGGCCCGGCAGATTCCTTGCAACAGCTTCTGTCCTCGAAGTAGCTAATAAATGGCGACGCGAGCGCGGGGACCCCGAAATTCCTCAGAGTGTTCTTGAAGCAGAGTGATCGTGTCAAGCGACTGCTCGAGACTGATACCAAGGGGAGCTCGACCCCTCTTTCGTCTTCTCATTTCCCTTTCCCACCTCTGTCCGGCTAGAATTGCAGCCAATAATGCTATTCTCCATGGACTGTGCCGGTTCCTGTACCTATTCTTGTTCGTACTCACTGTAAAGCACCACTAATGTCCAGCAAACAGCGTTTTTGTCTACAAGGAATCGCATAGAGACTGAATACATGAAGAGCATAAATTGTGATTCCATCCATTGTCCAAAGACTGTTGGTAGTTATTTCAGACATAGTTGCCGCTACTTCCTCGTTGGATCATCGCCAAGACGCGGTTGACGACGTTTGGCACCTCTTCGCTGAGAATCGTCTCGCGCGCATGAGCGTTGCTCTCCGCGGCAAGTCGCATCATCTGTCTATTGTTCCCCACAATCTGAATACCTTGCGTGATCATGACATCTAGATTGGGATACTTGTCTTGTGTCACATTGTACTGCCGCGTGGTTCAGCAGCTTGGTTGAAAGTGAGAAACTGAACGTACCTCGTGCAGAACGGCCAAACATCTCCTCTTGAATTCTTCAGTGGGAGCGCGCCCTTTTCAAGACGCGGGAGGTCCACCGCTCTCGATCAACTCGTCGCCTTCACCGTCGGTGCTATAGACAGGTGGTGGATGAGCTTCGATCGGGAGACTATCCTCTCGCCCGCCAACATCTATCCTCCGGTGGGCTCCCCATCGAGCTCCCTTGACTGACCCTCGAGACGCTAGATTCGCGCGAAAGGCATCAGAAGACGTCTGCTCCAAGCCTGCTCCTCCTGCTCCTCCACTCCCAGTGCTCTCGTGATGGCGATGATGAGGATATCCATGAGTAGCATCCGGAGGAGAATAACTGGGTGAAAACGCATGTGGACGAGGCGGAGGCGTTGGTGCCGTGTTCTCGCTCCCGGCGCGCTCATGTCCAAGAGGAGGACGCTCGAGTGGATGTGGACTATCTGTGATGGCAGCAGTCTGCATGAACACCCTCGGAGGCGGCGCAGGAGGTGGAGGAGCGGAGAGCTTCTTCGCCGGCACAAGTGAGTGCGAACCACGCTTCGTCGATGTAGCAGTGATAGCAGGAGGCGGAGGTACCTGCGGCGGTTGCTGCTGTGCTTGCTCGTGTACCCATCCAGGAGCAGCCCTGGGTGCAGTATTCCACGCATTTGCCTCCATGAATGCATCGAAATCGAATTGTGTCGAAGCGCGCTGTGGACGAGCGGGTGCTGGTTTCGGTGTACCAGGTCCTTCGGATCCACCATCATGAGCCGAGTCCGCAGCGTCTATAGGAGCATCTGCTTCTCTCATTGATGGTACAGATGGACTTTTCACAGACTTTCCGATCGACGCTTGGACGGCTTGAGAGAGGTGGGTCGGCAGAAGCGCCGGGGAATACGTTGATCCAGCAGCAGGCTTGACTGTAGAGGCGGCTTTGGCAGAATGTGGGACAGCAGATGCACGACCACGATACGCATCTGGGTCCGGTGCGCTCATCAAAGACGCGCGATGACCTGGAGGAGCTGGCTTGACCTCGATGGGTGGTTCGTCCGTCTCTTGGACTCCATTCCTATTTGAAGATTAGATCAACCACTTATTTGAGATGCTGCACTTACACCACGTCGGGATACTTTAACCACGAGATTCGAGCTTGTTACGGCGACGTTGCTCTCGCTCGGCTCTGTACCTCGCCTTTTCCGCTTTATACAAGGCCTTTGCCTCTTCAAGGCGCTGCTGACGACTTTGCAGATGCAGCGGCTGGCACAGATGCTGGTGCTGGTACCGCAGTTCTCTTTTCAGTATGGATAGGAGTCTTTGGAAACGCAGAGCTCGGAGTCGGGCGATGTGTCCAAATGACATCGCCATCTTGCTCCTCGATATCCGACGGTGGATCCTCTTCGACAATTGTTTGCACGCGCTTCATCACTTTGACAATCCCTTCAGCCAACGCGAGCTCCTTGGGCTTTGGTTGACCAGGTGGAAAAGCAGACATGGGCGTAATGGCTGATTTCAGTGCCATGCCCTCCCAGGTGCCGCGAAGCTGATGCGCGACCCCATCGTCCTCGAGCAACTGCGTGACGACATCGACAAGAGACACGAGCTGAGTAATCAGTGTCCCATACGTGCCTTCATCCGACTGCTGTCGAGTAGACTCTCCCGCGCCGCTCTCCAAGCTCATCTTTTTGACGATATTCGAAATGAGCGGGATGGGACCCATGTCACGGGGAGCCTCTGGGATCTGTATCGTCGGTTTCTTGGGGGTGTCGTTATTTATGACCGACCTATTCGACGCAACGTCGACATCGACGGTACTGTAGAGGGGAACAGGGTCCAAGCTCGTGGTCGACATCGCACGGCCTTTCCTTGTCCTCGACGGAATCCGTGGCGGCCCAGAACTCGCGACAGATTGAGGTCGTGTCGGTTCCTCGAGATGCGGATAGTCGACACTACGGACGGTGCCTTCTGGTTCTTCGTCTTCGACGTCTCTCTCAGATGGCGCTTGAACTTTATCCACGAGTTGTCGTCCTCTTGACGGAGCTGCATTACCTGCATGTTGGGCGACGCACCAATGCCCAGATGGCGCGGGACGGCGTGGGGCGTCTCTTCTCCTGGAATCACGAGCTGCACGTCCGTTGGGTCATTTGGAGGACGGTTGATAAACGTATAGTCTTCGTCGGTGAACTTGCCAGTATGCGCTTGTTGCAATATTTCGGTAATGCTCTCGTGTTCCTCCGTGTCCTCAATCTCCGACATGGGAATGTGAGATGTGATACTGCTTCCATTCTCTCAAATCCTTGAGGTCAAAATCGAGCAGGAGACCCTAAGAGAATGTCAGTTCTAGATGGGCGTTATCGCAGAGTTGAGAGGCTCACAGCGACAGCACGAGCACTCTTAGGACCAAGCAAGTATGACCTGAGCTCATCTTGGTTATGAATTGTCGTCAGAGATCCATCACGGTCTCTGTGGATCAGGGCAACATTGCTCGGCGGAACATCAAAGAGCTCGGTAACCTTTTCCGTCACGGTCGTCCAGTGTGCGTCATATGGAACCAGAAACGCCTTGATTTCATGCTGGAACTGGATGCGAAAGTGAAGCATCACGAGACTGTCGAGCCACAAGAGCCAGGGGATAGGGGCGGCGTCAAGATGCGCGAGCGAGCTGCCTCTCATTTCAAAATCTCCATGAGATCAAAAAAAAAAGGACTGATTGTTGGGTCGTATATGAATAGTACAAACATACGGCTAAGTCTGGAAAGGTGACGAAACACGCGCTCTCCGAGGACCAACGTAATAAGCCACAGACGTGCACTGGGCTTTCTGCGTTTACACAAAGCCATCGAAATGGCCCTTGAGCATACGCTCACCTATAGGCGGGTGGTGTTATAAGCCGGGCTTTTAAACAGCGAATAGGCAACACATACCAATAGGACTGGGAGCGTGGCTTTGGCATTTCTGAGGATGCCAGAGTTGCACGACGACCGTGGGGACGATCGATCGAGGAAGAGTTGCCGCGGTCGAATGGACAGTCTGTGATCTTGTAAGGGCATTATCCGCGTCTTGAATAGCAGAATTGCCGGTAGGAACGGCAGGCTATAGAGAAAGAAGTCAGAGCTTGAAGAAGGCGGCCACATGACATGAGATGAAGGGAATGCAGGGATGCAATTAGGGGTGGCGTGCGGGGATGAGTGCGTGAGGTGGACGCGTATCGATAGCGAATGAGATGGAGACGAGTGCGAGTGAGATACACCAAAAGAGCCAATCAAGACGTACACGTTGGAAAGGAGTGCTGCCGCTAAGACTGAGACGACGGAGGATGCCGGCCCCACGGTCTTGGGCAGCCTTTGCCGCTGGGTTGTTCTGCGGGGGATTTGTAGAAAAAACCTGCCAGTCAGTTCATGCTCATTGTACGATGATGGCCGAGCACGGGCGAAGTTTCGGGTTGGCCGCGTCTTTTCGAATACAGAACCAGGCATATTAGCGATGGTTGGACGCAGCGAACTGGGAGACTTTGATGCGGCGTCCTTGTTGAAGAAGTAGGGACAGAATAGGCGAAGAGGAAGGGCGGGTCTGGGTAACGTTGGAGACTGCTCAATCGTAGATCAGTAAGCAACCGTGACGCGCAGAATAAGCATATCAACGCGAATAGACGTACAGAGGGCGGAGACTGCAGTGCGACGAGCCAGGAAAACTCGGGAACGTTGTCGTCGACGGACGAAACCGAACAGAACGTTGGCGGTGGATAGGGATCGGTTTGGGTGTCGTGGGATTATCAGACATTTCTACGTGCTGTCGATGATGATTACAAGAAACACTGGGTGGGCGAGGTCCAGAAGTGGAGGGCCATAGGCGTAAGGGTTCCCCGCAATTTCTCAAACTTTGCCGCCGCGACCACTTGACGTATTCGGAAAGCGGATCAGAACAAGCTTGAATTCACGCCAAACGTCTATTCTGAATTTCTTCAGATTTGTTTCACTGCTCCAAATGGTTTCGTGGCCAACGCCACCACTCATTCGCAACGTCAGGATACCCACTCATCCGGAATACGCCCTGATTGGCCTGTTCATCCCACTGCTGGTGTATTTTGGAGACGGAGCCGCAGCACCGTTTCTACAATTATTACGCGAATATTTGTCCATCCTATCAAGGTCAGTTACATGCATCCTGACAGCAGCAACGCACTCAAAAATAACATAGTCGTGCCGGGGAACCTCTGTTCCGGCATGGGAGTACACTCCAGAGGGTTTAGTACGTCCGCAGTTGCAAAAGCGCGCAGTATACAACTCAACTGCTGTATTCTTAGAAACACGATAGAACGTTTGTTATCGTCGACAAGAATACGCACAAGACGATTACAGCTCGCGAAATTCCAAAGGTCAGACATTCAACGTCTGCAGTCGAAGCCCCTCACCGACGTAGCCTAGATGGTCTTGATTCATCCTAGAATAGAAGAGACTCCCAAGGGACAGATACTCGAAATTCATTTTCCAAGCGAAACTACTATTGGCGTTGTAAGGACATACTTGGTACCTCCAGAAGAGGTTGTCAAGAGCTGGACAAAGTAAGCGAGCACAATAATTGCTTTTCATACTCAGACGAGTCTAGGCTAGACGATATTCAGATTTGGTCGCATACCACTGATGGATACATCTGCGAGTCACTTGAGCAAGGTGGTCTCGATCCGTCTGGAGCCCTCTCCAAGTATCTTGAGCGCGACGTGTTGCTCATTCGCAAAGGTCCTACCACACGACATCTCAAGCCCACCGCCGCGTTCCCCGCTCTCCAGGGGTCAGCCGTGTTCCAGGATGGATATCCTATCCTCGTCGCATCTGAAGAGAGTCTTGTAGACGTTCAGAAAAAGCTTTCCCTCAGCGCAGCTGGCGTCGAAGGCTGGAAAATCAACGGTGTCGCTGGCGAGTGGACGGGCGAACTCGTCATGGAAAGGTGAGAAGTTTGAGTCTGGGCATCTTTCTTCTGCTCATATATGCAAACAGATTCCGCCCGAATGTTGTCGTCGAAGGCGCGGGAAAACCGTATGCAGAAGAGGAGTGGGAAGAGATTTCGTTTACCACCACGGAGCGGAGTGGTCGTGCTTCATCTGAATACGGTCGAATGCTCCTGGTATCACGGTGCACACGCTGTCAGGTAATATTCAGCGCTTTGCATTCCGACGTCGGCTGATCTCTATATTCAGCTGCCGAACATTGAGCCTTCGACGGGTATCCAACACAAGCATGTTCCGTACAAGGTCCGTGTAGTCGCCGTAACATGACGAGGAGCTGACGGCCTTGGTGCTGCTACAGGTGCTAGCCAAGTACCGGCGAGTGGACCCTGCTCGTCCATACACGCCTTGTTTCGGTGTCAACGCGGTTCCACAAGAGTCTGGGGTGGGTCGGCGACACTGTCCATGCGACGGTTTGCGGCTGCTGGTAAATTGCCAGAAAGAGGTGATTGTAAAAAACTAGAGCATGTTTCGTATGGAACCCTTTGCTAGAAATAGAGCTTGATCCAGTGGCCGCTGAGAGCCGGGCGCCGGCGTTTCCAGGAGCGAGCACAAGGCCGATTGATGGGCTTCGCCTTGGCTCTTGAGCTTTGGATCCTCCCACCACGGGCCTCGATTTTTGACGAAATTTATTCCTACTAGAATAAAACCTCCGCTCTTTGTTTTTCTTTTACTCGATCATGATCAGCTCAGGCCATTTGGAGGCGCGGGACGCCATCCGACATATTGAGGCCAGACAAGGACGAGGACCACCAACGCCAGTAGCGCCAGCAGATCCACCAGAAGATGATGGAGACATTATTTCCATGATCCTCTCGGGGATTTTGGTGGAATTGACGACGAGCCGACGACAACATCGACCAGATCCTCGACGCGGTCAACAAGCACGCTCCACGAGTACGACGACGAGCAGCACACGCTCAACAAGCACGTCTACGTCGACTCGTACAACCGCAGAGGTCGTGACCACGCCGCCAGTGGTTGCTACTCAACCCCATCGTCGAGCTCGGCGCGCTCAACGACGATAATCACCCAAACTGCGAACAATGCAAACAATACGGCTAACGATACATCTAAGAACAGCGGTTTACCCAGCGTCGTGATTGAGTCATTGTAGCCGCCGCCGTCATCTTTGGCCTCATCTTTATTGCCTCATTGCTCGCGT